GAATTTAAGTAATTGTCCCAACAGTTACTCTTTTATGGTGGCATAAAAGAATATTACAGGAAATTAAAGAAATAAGTTTTTGCATTAAACTGACTTTCATGATTTTTTTCTAAAGAGATTATACATTTTTTACTTAGCAACAAAGAAAAGAGGCACAGATGGAATCATCACTTGCCCACTCATTTAAGCATTTGTTTCAGACAAATTTACAGTGATGAAAAATAGCAGGGGAAGGGCCTCTAAATTTAATGTATAAAGAAAAAATTTCAAAAGTGCCTTAAAATGGAATGTCACAACACCTTTGGCAATCAGGAATTAAAAGCAGAGCACTTTTGGAGTAGATCCACAGCTCTCAAATTCTTATGAAATGAATGCATGAAGCCAGTGAGGCAGTAATGTGTTTCACTGTATAACATAAGCCCACTACTTACTCTACATATGCAATAGGTTTCTTAAGCACGTGGGGATATATAAAAGACTGGCACTCTGAACAAACTTGCATTTCTGAATCCAATCATTATTGTTTACATTCAAATTAAGCATTTGAAATGCCTAAAACTCACGGAAATTGTGGTTGATTATGTTGAGCCTCCCCCTTTTAAAAACTGAAAGCAAGATATGTTCTAAAACAATGTGAGGAAAAAAAGATCTCATCTTCACCATATTCAAAGGAAAAATACAATGATATTCTGACTCAATTTAATTAATATGTAAAGAACAACTACAATGCTTTGACAATTTACAGATTGCTTTTGTTCTCACAATAATTTTGCTGTCTCTTTGCTTCCTAGTGAAATGAATCAAACTGTATATATTAAATCACTTGCATGTATCAGATTTAAAATATTCAACCACTATCATGAAATTGTGAATTGTTCTATTCTGTCTGACATCTGATCATTTTGAAGTACTATTTTTTTGTCTCTTTATCCCTCTATTCCATAAACTACTTCTTCTTGGTTTATTCCTGCACTCATTTATTCCCTTCACACACAGGGGAAAAACACTCCATAATTTTTAGAGATCTCTCTTACTATATACACTAACGAGAACATGGCTTCATGACTTTATTTCACTGTGTCCAGCCTTTGCTTCAGAAGGCTGAAAACAGATGTACTCACGTGTGCTTTTAATCTATTTCATGCTGCTCAATTTCTAAATAATAAGTACCAATTTCACAGGCAAGAAACACCCCCCCCCCAAATTACAGTAAATTACAATATTCCCAAAATAACTATCTGGGCATGTACAGAAGTAAAATATTTTTCTGTCCAGGAGAGGAAAATTCTTTTTGTCTTGTTTTGTCTTTTTTTTTTTTTGACAGTACTGGGGATTGAACCCAGTACTCATACATGCTAGGCAAACACTCAACCACTGAGCTACATCCTAGCCCCCAGGAGAGGAAAATTCTTGATAAGCCTAAGAATACTGTAGCATTGCAGAAGCTGCCACCGGGGAGATCAAAATTCACAATCAGTCTGTAGTTCAGGTTCTTGGCTTATGAGACTGGGTATACGGCAAAGAAAATGAAATCGCTCTCTGGGGGAAGAGCTTCTGTGGATTGTCACTGGCATTGATTATGGAGAAGGCAATACACAATTTCCAGGATAAAAATAACACATGGACCTGCCAGCTAACCAGAGAGAGACACAGAGATAAAGCACCCTTTTCCTCACCAAAGAGCTAAAATGGTAGCAGCTTAAAAATTCTTAGAAAAACAATTTTAAAATAAATTGTGAAAAAAATGATATAAATTATAAGGTGAAGACTAAGTCCTGCTTTTGAACATTAGTTAAAAAAAAAAGATAAAAGGTTTCCAAGAAACCAGCTGGGATCAAAAACATATTCATAAGGAAATTCAAAAACTGTATTTGAAGGTCCCTAGGCATATCAAGCATCTTGTTCATTGATGGCAAAAGTAAAAATTTTAAACTCCATTACATTAGGGAAGATTGTTTTCCCAAACAGAATATTCAAATTCAGTTTTCTGGCTTTTTCTTTTTCATTTAAATTAATATAAGCTATAGCAATAGATTCAACTTACAGTTTTTATATCAATCTTAGGCTTTACTATTTGAACACAAATACCAACCAGGTATCTATAAGATGAGGCCTTACAAATGAGAAATAAAAATAACTGGGGTTATTCAATTTTATGAAGTTATTTCTAACAAAAAATGAACCCAAATGTAACATTTGCCTTCACGTGATGAAGTCTTTTAAGCACAATTCTCAAATTAATTCTTTGAGTTTCTACTTTCGAGAGGCAGATTGTTCTCTATTACTCTCACAGAATTAATGCTATATTCTATTTCCTACTCCTAAGAAAGCAGAACACTGAGAGAACTATCCATCTATTTGTTTATTTACTTAATTACTTTCAAAATGAATTGGCAAGTTTTAGATAGCTATTTTTAAAAGACAGCATGCTTTTTAAGGTACTCAAATTTGATTATCACCTTTAAACAAAATCTCAAAACAGAATCACTGATAAAATCAAGCACAGTATTCCAAAACTATCTAAATCAGATGAGAGTTTGGTAAGAAATAAAGTATTCCCTGAGCAGGCTATATTTTGGTAGTGACAGACCACTATGAGGTAGTTATTTTTTAACAAAAGGCCGAGCACAATTAGAAACTGGCATTGAAGGACTGTGTACTCATTTAGACATGCCTTATTGCCCTTGGAAGGAAAAAACACACAAAGTTCATTTAATACCTAAATTTAAAGTGAAACTGATTTTCCCATTTGATAAGCATGAAATAATATTCTAGTAATGATCTTTATCATTTCTTGAGTGTCTTCTATGAAGCTGAATTTTCAGATATGTCCTGTCATTTAAACATCACAACCACCACAAACTGTTGTGGCAGAGTGGCAATTTAAGTCCAGATCTGATGCCAATACCCATGGTCGTCCTGCTCTGACATGCCACCTAGTAAAAATCACAAGTTTACAAAACCTTTATGTTCCCAAATGAGATCAATCACATATAAATTTTTCTATCACTTAACTTTTGATTATCCCTATAAAGAGGTTTAATTTAGGTAAAAACTGGTGAGAATAAATTTAAAGGATAATATAGAAAGTGGACTTTCTTTCTAGCAAAACTAGAAGAAATGACATATCCCAGTTAAACTTGATCAACCAAGAAAATCCTGAAGCTAATTCTAAAATAATGTGTACAAAACTCTCTAAGCACTAGTTAGAGGCTCTTTAGAAATGTCACATTAACAAATTGTATCTAGTTCTGTTTGCTACCTCTCTGATAATCAGAGAAAATTGATTTCTAATTACTTATTATCCCTATTATGTGCATAAAATTACTGAAGGAATTAAATACACTAAGAACAAATGTCCTTTAGCTACTTCTTTTTACTTAGCTTTTAATTTTGAAATAATTATCGATTCATAGCAAGTTACAAAAGGTAGTACAGGGAGATCCTCATGTACCTTTTATTCTGTGTCCCCCATTGGCGACACCTTACATAGCTATAGTACAAACCAAGAACCTGACATTATACAATCCACAGAATTTACTCAGATTTCTCCTTGAACTCCTTTTTAAGAGTACAGTTTTGCTGGTGCTAGAAATAATGGCCTTAGATTCTCTTCCCTTTTATGATGAGAAAACAGAAAGTGGAAGAGGCTTAAAAACTAAGCAGTCAAGTGCTAAAAAGTAGCAAAAATCAAGCCAACTTTGGTGCCTGGAATGGCTCAAGCAGTAAGAGCACCTGCCTAGCAAGCAGCAAGTATGAGGCTCTGAGTTCAAATCCCAGTGCTACAAAAAAAAAAAAGAAGAAGAAGAAAACAATTTTGAGAGATCATGTTTTCTCAGATATAGAACATTCTCCAGAATCCTGTAAGGAATTCAGTAAGGACTTTTCAAAACATTCTTAAAGACCTTCAAAATATTCTCATTTCCAAGTTATCTCATGAGGTGTATTCATATTTTTCACAAATTATCTTTCATTTCTCCAGAACCCCCCAAGTTTTCCTTATTAAAAAATTTAGCCCGACTGGTCTGTTGAAAAATTCTGAAATTTTAGTGCATCAGTAATATAAACTCAAATGAAACCTAGGCCAAACTGGTTACCACTTGAAGCAGCAGGCTACCTTGCCCCTTGACCTCAGAGCAAAGCTCTAACACTGGCACAAAGCAGGTTCATTAAACACTGAATGAATGAATTAAGTAGAATAACCAACTACACCAAACATTTCACATTTCTTGAAAACAAGAAACCTGCTTTCTAGTAAACTAAGATTGTTGTGAAGAAAATGCTTTATTTTGTGGAATAGTTTTGAGGAAAGCTAAGGAAGGACCCTTAGAGAACATCTAAGACATTAAAAAGAACATGCCAAGCCCCTATCCCTCTATGGTGGGTCCCAAACATCTGTATTTTATTTTTAAATCTCCTGGGTGATCACAAGTCCCTTATCATACAGGTGAAGAAGAGGCCTTGCCAAACTGACTGTTTTATTCAAGATAACACACAGCTGGTCAGTAAGAGTCCAAGTAGGAGCAGCACTATTTCTCAACATAATATATAGAAAAAAAATTAAAAATTATGAAACTTATTTTGTGATACTGTTGGCTATTTTAAAAACTGTGAAATAAGGCAAAAGTCTACCAACATTTGAACTCTTAATGATATGTAGTCACTGTGTAAATAGACAGACATATACATTTGGAGTACTGAGAGCACTGAGAAGTTTTTGTCCAAGCTATAAAAAATGAAGCATTGAAGCATATGGTCCATGTTTTCCAGTTAACTGTCTACTCCTAGCAATTAGTTCTCTTGTAGTGTGATGGGTCTGCTGTAGATGTTCATCAAATATATTTGATTTTTTAACAAAAGGAAGTCCATGTGTAAAACCGATGAAACTTACTAGATACAAAATATGACTCAATAACAGTTGCCATATTGCACATTAGATTACATAGATAATATATTTGTAATTATTTACTATAACGGAATAGTTATATTTCTCAACCTACCTTTAATGGAATCGTTTTCAGCTCTCATTATGTCAATGAGTGAACTCTCCAGTGAGTGCATGTCAAACGTCCTGGGGCGATCCTGTAAACACAAACAACCACAAGCCACTTTAAAAATAGTATACATAAAAGACAAAAACAGGTTACACTTGATGAAACATAAATTTGATGGAATAAAAAGAAGCAAGTTCATTCCCTTTCTGTATCAGATACATTAGTACTAAATGTTATTACTAACACTTCCCAGCCACAAAAGTACATAAGGTTCAGTAGAGAGTGATTTGATTTCTAACAATAATTTCAACAAAAGCATCACTTTTATTCATAAAGCATAAAACATTAAAATGAATCTCCATGTTAGTTAAGAATATTAAATAATATAAAAGAAATTCTTAATCTTCTGCCACTGATTAGGACTGCAGCAATATGGGAGCTTTCCAAGCTTGTTCCAGCAGTAATGTAACAAATTGGAAACTATTATGTGCTACTCAGAAAAACTATACCTTTTTATAAGCCAAGATTTGAAAACAGTCATCAAATTTCTGTTAGGCTGCTAAGTGGTAAAGTATTCCAAAATAAATATCACTGGGAAATTATGAAAAGACCAATTATACCCTTAATGAAAGAAAAAAATGATTGATTTATCTATATATTACTAAGGGTGTCCTCAAATGCTAATGATTCACCTTATCTAAAGATTTTTTAAGGTATTTGTCAAAAAAATAAATACAGAACTACCATATGATCCTGCTGTACCACTCTTGGGCATGTATCCAAAGACTGTAAATCAATATGCTAGAGATACCTGTGCACCCAGGTTTACAGCAGCACTATTTATAATAGCCAAACTATACAATCAGCCTAGGTTCCCAACAACTGATGACTGGATTAAAAAAAAAAAAGTGGTACATATATATAATGGAGTATTATTCAGCAATAAAAATTAAAATTATATTGTTTGCAAGGAAAATGGATAGAACTGGAGATCATGATGTTGGGCAAGATATGCCAAGCTCAGAAAGACAAATATCACATATTTTCAGTTTATATTTGGAATCTAGACCTAAAAATAATAATGTGACATGATTGTAAAAGGGAGACTGTTTGGGAGAGTACCAGTGGGAGGAAAGAAAAAAGAGATGGTGACAGGGGGTGAATATGATTGAAGTGCATAATGAAATATGTGTATATATGTATCTATATTTCATACTTATATATATATGAAAATAGTATAATGAAACCCACTAAAACTATTTAAAGGGGGAAGAGTAGGAGTGTTAAGAAGGAGTAATAAAGACAGTGTGAATTTGATCACACTACATTATATGCATGTTATGTAAATATCACAATGAAATCCCTTTGTACAATTATTTGTAAATTTTTTATTTAAATTTTTTTTAATTTAAGGATTTCTTTAAAAAGAACTAACAACACACATGGAAAGTAGACCACAAAAATCCCACAAAATACATAAAAATGAATTTGGTATAATCTTCCCTTCTCTGAGATAAACTAAATAGGGAATATGAAGCATGGGCACTGCTCTCCTTACTGTGACAGAGGCTCCACTAAGGACAGGACAGATGAGCAACAGAGGACTGCTAAAGCATGACCTGTTCCTCCCTGCTCCCCAATACCACATGGTTCCAGGTCTCCCAAGAGTCCAGGCATTACTTCTGACACATAAGGACAGAAGGACATACTTATCAGAGTTAGTATCTGGATGAGAAATCCAAAACACCATCTCAATTCTTTTTTACTATTACAACTATGAAGTAAGACTTAATTTTGTTGCCACTTAAGTTAATTAGAAAGAAAGGTATGGAGGACATTGCTGGTCTAGCCCTGGCTTAATTAAGTGCATTTCAAGAGTTGGTGAGGGATCCTAAAATATATAATGTCCCAAGTTCTCTGACATCCCTTGAACAAAGGAAGTTATCTAGCAATAACTAAAATTAAAGTTTAGCCTGACAAGTTAAAATTAGACAATGAAAACATTTGAAAATTAAACTGAGGAAGCAGTAATACATGCTCTGCTCCCTCACCAACATACACATACATACAGCCAAAGGCCCTTACAGAAGAAAGGGATTCCGTGGGAATCTGATAATCAAGTTCCTTGAAATATTTCCATAACTTTCTCTTCTACTATATTTGCTCGTATACTACTTTTTATTTATCTTATTTATTTATTTATTTATTTAGTGTTTTGGTACTGGAGAGTGAACCCAGGGCCAATGCAGTCTAGCACACACTCCACCACTGAGCTACACCCCCAATCACTGAACACTTTTTACTCAAAGCTTTGGCTCGCTAAATAAATTTACCCCCTAATTTTATCTCCTTCTCCCTTTTATTAACTTCTTGGCACCTCACTTTTCTCCTTTCCTAGCTAACTTCTAGAACCTCTAAGCTGACAGAGCATGACTTCCACTTGAGAGCATTTTTGATAAACCTGACAATTCTCTTTTGCACTTCTATAATACTTTGTACTCTGAATGATTATTAAGCCTTCCCTCATGTAGGGACCATGCCTCCTGACTTCACCCTACCATGTAGATATTCAGAATATTCACAGAATAAATTGTTCTATGATAGATTCCTTATTTCTGCAGTTTGAGGAATCCAAGTGCAGTTACATTTAGATCTGATCCAAAGTATGAGAGTATTACAGTTTTGCTCCTAGGGGTGAGAGGGTGAGAACATGCATAAGGACAGGGAGCAGTGCCTTAACATGTTACTTGCTCTAGGGTGGTGTTACTCGCTCTAGAACATCTTTCCCACTTTTGCCTCCTGATTCTTCTCCTCAATCAGGTCCACAGAGAATTATAAGAACATGTGGCCAGAATCAGAATTTCTAAGAGTTAGTAGTCATAAAAGGGAGAGACTACTTTTTTAATACTCAGATGAAGCACTGCATCAGAACCCTTACTGCATTTTCTTTTGTAAGTGATGTGGATCTGAGGCATAACTTCAGGTTTAGAAGTCAATACAAAGCTACTACTCATTATGTAGTAGCTAGATTTGTCCTCCTTTCAGCGATCTATGAGCCAAGTGTACCTGGGCCATCCACCATATCCATTGCCAACACAAACAAGGTCAGAATGTTCCGTTACCGTCCACTTGCTGTGTCCTCCCCAAGGGCAGGAACTACATCTTACATCAATTGTTCTCAGTGTATCTACCTCACACAGGTGACGGTGTGCTAAGAAAGCCATCACCTTAGCCCACAGGATTGCAGAAGGGTCTGAGGAGGCAGGAACTCCCTGGCAGATGATCTTTGTTTAAATATTATCATTTTCTATATGACCATGATGTGATAAGAAGCATTGTACCACATTTCTGCATCAAAAACCTTCTTTTAGAAAGCATGCAAGTGTGTGCCAAATCAATGAATTGATTAATTCCTTCAAGTAATTTTAAACGTTTAAAATATTTCTTCTCTACTTACTTATCTTAAGGTTTGTTTATGTATTTCCCTTTCCCACTATAGAGTTGTATGTTTTCTTTTGCCAAAATAAATAATGGGACAGACAGTCTATTATTCTTTTTCATAGAACTAGAGCAATATGCAAACTTGTAAATTTCTGAAACTTGCATTTTGCTAATTGCTGAATGAAGAACACTGGAGAGGAGTTGATATAAAATTGTAACAGAGTGCTTTTTGTTTGGTTTCTTTTCTAAGAGCTGTTTCTAGTAAGTCAAGAAGGCTTCTAGGTTTCTGAATGGGATTCTAGAATTTAAAGCACTTCACAGCTCCCCACACCCAGAGTACATTGCCTCAAACATAGAGTCTTACTGAATTTAATAACCATTGGCTTCTCACTGGCAAAGTGCATTAAGATTAAAATCCTAAGTGTAAATTTAAAATTTCAGTAATATTTGTATTAGAGAAAAAATACCCTCTATCATTTCTACACTCATGCTTTATTCCCTTTAATTTTTCATGATTTAAATACGGGGACACAAGTGAGTATCAATACACAAATTCTGAGGTGCTGAATCTCAGACTCAATATGTTAGGGATTCTCAGGCTTTATATGAATTCAGAAGGAAACAGAACCTCAACAGATTGCTGACAATTTTATTAAAAGCAGCGTATAAGGCCCAGTGGCACAACTCTTGCCAACTCTAGTAGTCTTCCTCACAACCCAACCTTAGGAGCCATTAGACTTACTATAAACTACATTAGTATAACTTTTATTCTTATGCTATTCAAATAACATTTCTTATGATACTTCGGTAATTCAAAGAATTTAAAAGCCACATATTTTGTCAACTAAACATCTTGTGTCAGAGAGGCTCCAAAATTTGTCATTCTTAATTTATTCTTTCACTGATCTTTTCCACTTTTAACATCTAATTTTAAAATGCTAAAATGTGTCTTGTGCCAGTAGGAGGTAGGTAGAGGGAATGGAGATACAAATAAATCCAATGTATAAGAACAGAACAAGCAAGCCAGTTTTCCTATCCAAAGATCGGAGTTAAATAAAGGAATAAGTGGTTCCATTTCTATATTTCATTCTTCAATCTTTGCTTCTTTTGATTGCTTATTGGACCAAATATAATTACTGATGTACTTTCTAGAACCCATTTTCTAGAAAGTAAACTAACTGTAAGTTAGAAAATTTGTTAAGTGGTAGTTCTTGATTAACCAAATATGAACATCAGCATAAGCCTCTGTAATGGGTGTCACTAGGAAACCCCACTTGGGCAGAAGCACTACTAATTTACAAAAGTCTAGAAGAAAGGATTTGATTAGATCTTTAATGTTCCTAGCTCCAAAATACTTTTTTCTCTTCTTTTGCAGTACTGGGAATGGAACCCAAGCCCTTGAGAATGCTAGGATGCTAGGTAAGTACTCTATAGGAAGCAAAAATGTGGGTGAGGATAACGACTGAAAATTCATCACTTCTTGTCCAGGGGAAATGTAAATTAGTAGGAAAGTGAATCTTTGGAGTGTTTTTTTCTCTCTTAGTGCTGAGGATTAAACCCAGAGCCTCCTTGCACATAAGCAAGTGCTCTACTACCAATTATATTCCCACCCTTGTAAAGTCTTAATATTACAATCCATGAATTTTC